TGCATTTAAGTTTCGTTTTACCAACACACTATTCAGTTTCCTTTCTATTTTTAAATTGTTTTATCATGTAAATCTGTAACATGCGGTGAAAATGGCCACTGCCAATTGTAGTATTCCTTCAGTGATGTGTAAATCTGTTTTTTTTCTAAGCCACGACAGGCAGGGTATGCAGTGATACCATGCCAGGAATGTACAAATTTACATCTTTGACTCTTATGTTTCATATTTTTTTATGGTTTTTATACTTCACAAAATCCTGTTAGTCTAAAATAATGAAAAAATATTATAGAATATAATCCAAAAGTAAATAGGTAAGAAATGATATTTTAGGATATATCTGTTATTCTGTTGTGCAGTTTTAATCCTTGCTGAGGGGAAAAAAAAAAAAAAAAAGGAATGATGATGATGCAGACGAGCACTTACATAATAAGCTAATTCCACCTGGTATTTAGTGCCATCACAGACACCCATCCCAAACCCCACAGTGCTGATTCCACCTAGAAATAGCCAAAATAAAGAATTCAGCTTCCACGGTCTACAAATGTTGCTTGTCCTCTTCCTAAATAAAACCAGACAGAAGGAGCAATCTTTGGAAATCATGTGAAAACCAATACATCTGTGGTAGGGAATTTGGAACAGGATATATTGAAAAAATGAATAGATCTACCAAAACTGAAGATTGAAACTAGTATGTGTGCAGGCAGCCTCCCAGTGTGTGCTTTCCCCCAGCACAGACAGCATATACAGTATGGGCCAAACGAGGCTCATTCCTGGGGTTTGGCTTTATTCAAAAGAAACCAGTGTTAAGGTAGCAAAGCTTACTCAGGTCTCTTCCCCAGACTTGGCTGCTCTTACAAGCAGCCTCTTAGGACTCACACGTGTCTGCCACAGGTCTTTGCTCTCTCTTGAATTTTTGCTGTCCCCTGAACAAGTGAAGTCCTGAGCCAGCTTCCTCTCTCGGGGACTGTCACCCGGCCCTAGTACATAACGGAGACCTGTGTCCCACCCAGCTGGGGTGCACTGAACATTCGGTAGATGGTCCTATGAAAAGAAATGCAAAAAAGAAGCAGCACCCCCCACTACTGATCCAGTCTATCCCAGGAGGGATAGAGGTTGCCAACCTGTTACACTGTGGTTGTAGTTAAAATTCAGCTAAAGCACATAAACACAACTTTATAGAGGGAATAAAATTACACAAGTGGTCCTATAAGAAGCCTTTGACCCGCTGTCTACAACTTTTAAAACATGCAGTTCCCGTCAAGGTTGCTGTACACCTGGCTAAGGAGGATACTGGGAGGAGGAGGAGAACAGAGAGCAGTAACATGAGAAGTGGTGGCAGCATGGACTTCTGGAGGTTAACAGCCAGAGGAGGAGTTGATGGGAAAGGATAAGCATAGTTACTGATGCCTTAGCTGCAGTCTTCACTGTAGTGTTTTTATTGTTTTGGGGGGTAAAACTGGCATAAGCGTGTTCAGCTTTACTGAAATCACACCTTCACTTGCCAGTGCGGATGTACTCTGTAAATGCAAAGCCACTCCAAAGTCTTTGCTGTGATAACCTTCAACAGCCTATGGAGAAATACAGACTGCTTAGTGACTATTCTAGCACAAATTTCCTGTAGTTACATAAGCTACCATTTAAAAGACACAATTTAATTATAAAGTGCACATTAAAAGCTGCTTCACTGTCTCTCTCCTTGAAGTGTGTGTTGAGCTCCCCTTAAAGGATGCTTACATTACAAGATCAGTTAAAAAGAAACTTCAAAGAAGCCATCGAGAGTTTCAGCCCATGGTTACACTTTCTTTGTAGCCCTACTGCAAAGCATTTGGGATTGTTGTAGGGTGCTGGGGGGTGAGGGAGTTAGCTGAGAGAACGGCTGGATAGAGAAAATGTGCTGGGGACGGGCTGTGAATTGGGCAGAAGGGGGAAGTTACCCCACACGTGGCTGAGGGTTACAGCACACACGCAGCGGTACGTGTTCCCTGGTGACAGGCGCTTCCTCACTGCGCTCAACGAGACCACCATCGCTTCATGGGACCACAAAGGGGATTTAAGTAATCCCTCTTTGTCTGCCCCAACACTTGACAATGAAGAATGAACTATCTTCCAAACTAAATGACCAAGCAAACAAGCACATTTAGGAGAGATTTGTTCAATTATGTTAAAAGTTAAAGATTACTTTTACTGTACAGTAATTGTTCACTGTTTTGTGTTATCACTGTATTATTCACTTTCAGGAAACATGAGTTTTGCAGTACAAAGGTAGATCCATGTTGGTTCAAGTTCATTTGGCATCTCCCCCTCACCTTTAAAAACACTTTCAAAAACCAAACCTGAAGCATTAAATGATGTTTCTTAGGCTTTAAAGCCTGGCATTTTAAAACATAGGCTGGACAGATTTGTAGATTGTTGAGACACTTTCAGTTTGTGGCTGAAAAAGTGCTGAGGATATCAGCTGAGACTTCTGCAGGCTGCATGGAAAGAACATTTCAAAGCTCTGTACTTGCCAGAGTTCACTCCTTTGTGCAGTAGCACATTATTCTGGAAGTAGTGCTTCTGCTCAACTCTTTAATGTTTTTCCAGAAAGAAAAGCACATTAGCCAAGTATCTCTTTTCCACAGTGCTACTGCTGAAACACAGAATTTTCATACAAGCAATGCTGAGTGAGGGACCTGGCATGCCTCTACAGAATGCCTTTATCTGAGTTCCCAGCATTTAACTGGGATCATAGTACTCAGTCCTATTTGCTTCCCAGTCCATCTTGGTATCAATTGTATACCACTGTGGTGTGCCAGCTACTTTACAGTCCTGCACACTAGCCTGCACCCTTTGTCTCGGAGAGGAAACCACTGCTCTCAAATTGTCCGTGACAGCGCCAGAAGCTCCTGCCGGTGTTATGCCTCAGTGGGACAGGAGGATGGCTTGGGTGTCCCCACGGCCCAGAAAAGCAGCAGCTGCTGCTCCAGATCCTGCTGCCTCTGGCACTGTGCAAGGGACACTAGCACAAACAAAACAAAACATCTGGCCCACAACGTGAGTTATCGCGACTCTTAGCAGCACTAATACCAAAATCCGTTAGGGGCTGGTCCGGAAAGGAAACTATGTGTAGAATTGACATTCAGGAATTGTCCTGCCAGGAACAGTTCCTTACTTTCCTTCCCAATGCGCCAGCAAGATGAGCATTGAATCCACACAGAAAAGCCCACTGAAGACAGTGCATGTAATATCTAAATGTGAGTGTAATAAGTAAATGTACCCAGCTGCAGAAATTAAGGACTATATGTATAAGGAAGCTTGTATAAAGAAGCTTAAGGAAGTTTACTTTTACTGATAAACAATTTTTATTTGCTCTTTCTCAAGATACTAGATACTGTTTTGAGATATTGTTGAAATGCTACCCAAAACCCGTTTCATAAACAACAGAATACTTAGATCACTGAAGGGCAAAAGTGATAAAGTAATTAATAAAAAACTGTAGGATTTGATTTGATTTAAAACCGACCAAATGATACCAAAGAAAAGGCAAGAATGCTTTGAAGAATAACTATGAGTGCCAATGATATTCCACGTACAGAATTTACATTGATAATGAGCAGTATCAGAGATAATTTATTAATCGAAAATAATCTTGTATCTCAAGCCTTGTCTTTCTCAAGATTGACTTTACTGTTGGTGCTGAAATCCAAAGTGCTGGAAGCGTGCATGTGCAAGAATACGGTTTGAAACCTAGCAGCTCATTGTATAAAGCCACTTTACTCAGGATTGCTGAAGATACTATTTTCTCTGCTCACTGTCACACAATACACATGTTTCTAAACATCCATCTGCATTTCTTCTGTTTCTGTGACAGTCACTGCCTTTTAATGTTTTCCTCAGCCAAGGGAGAATCAAGTTTAAGCTACAGACTTCAATGCTGCTTCCACTGATGTTATTATGGCAGTATCCCCTGTACTATGAGCTTCTCTATTCATATATTTTAATAAGACACTAGAAACATGACTATTTTACTTGAATGCTTCTTTATACCATACTTTGAATGTTTAAAACCTGTATTTGCTGTGTTAAAAACAGCCACTGTTGAATAACTTCCCAAAGTTAGAGTTCAGCTTGCCTAGTTCCTAATCCTGTAATTACTTATGCATGTAGTTAAGAATACAAATACTTCCCTTGTAATCACATGGAGCAGGATATGCTGAATCATGGCCTTTGCTATACAGTCTCAGTTTCTAGAGGTGCTCCCAGAATTCACTAATAATACTTTTTTCTCCTACATAAGACAGTATTGTATCAACACAGAAGGTTTTGCAGTGCAGGTTTTCACAGGAAAATTTTTTTTTGTTCTAAGTATTATCTGTTTGGTAAAGGTAAAGAAACATTTTAACCACCTGTTCAGTAAATACTAATTTAACTTTTAGCCAAACTATTTGTTCTTCAAGAAAAAAGAATCAAGGCATGAAATCCTATTGACTGAACTGCCAAACTCAGTGGCAAAATTCTCACTGGCTACAGTACGGAACATTAGTTTGTATGTAGTGTGGGCTAGTTCTGGTAGTGTGGAGACTTACAGGTGCTCGCACTATACAAAAACAACATAGACTCAGCCATGCAGAACTATCAGAAATTGGGTAGATTACCACACAACTTTTTTAGCTTTCCAGTCGCACACAGCCCCCCCCGCCCCTTCTCCAGCTGCCCCTCTTGCTAAATAAATAAACCATAAATAAAAGCCTAGAAAACACCAACTAGTACCAGTGTAGTTTTTGTGAGGCTTGTATATAAAAATAATATATATATTATAACCTTTTTTTCTTCTCAATCCTCACTCAGGCATGATTGAAGCCAAATATGGAGAATAAACTGATTAATCGTTATTTAGAATCTTGACAAAAAACTTTTTATAAATTTTATATATTCCTCTTAATGCTCAAATTAAGAGGAAACAAATCCAGCGTACGTTTCTGCTGTTTATGATTTCAGATGCTGTCTTGCACTTTATAGAGATGGCTTTCACTAATCCTGAAATAAACCCAATGCTGTTTGTACTCAGTAGGCTTTGGCCACTCTATTCCCCTCCTCCCTCCACTTTGAGTGTCAGTTGTAAATTGCTTGACAAATACTCTGTTTCATGCTCCCCACCGCTGGCTTGCAACACCTTTAAAGATTCAAAAGAGACAGAAAAGCTAAAAAGGCAACAGGTAGGTAATACAGCAGACAGCTCAGTCTCTGGTTAAACTTATAGAATCATAGAATGGTTAGGATTGGAAGGGACCTTAAAGATCATCTAGTTCCAACCCCCCTGCCATCAGCAGGGACACCTTCCACTAGATCAGGTTGCTCAAAGCCTCATCCAGCCTGGCCTTGAACACTCCCAGGGAGGGGGCATCAACAACTTCCTTGGGCAACCTGTTCCAGTGTCTGACCACCCTCACAGTGAAAAACTTCTTCCTAATATCTAATCTAAACCTTCCCTCTTTCAGCTTAAGCCCATTTCCTCCTGTTTTGTCATTAATTGCCCTTATGAAAAGTCCCTCCCCAGCTTTCTTGTAGGCCCCAAGACCCTTGTTACTTGCTCAGAGTAACAAGCAGTGAGATTGTGTTTTTTCTTCAGAGTGCAGGTGGAGAGGCCATGAATGAAAACAAATTTCTGAACACAGACTCCAGCACAGGATCAGTGGAAACAACTGTCAAGCCGTTACCATTTAAAGATCCAAACTTCATCGTAAGTATATTATTTTAACAATTTGAAATTCTAAACGTTTCAAATAAAACATTAACTAGAATTCTATTTAACCATATTGCTAATGTAAATATTAAGAAAGTCAGCTTAACAGCCTTAAAAGGTCGGCAGTTTTTAAGAAATTCACCTCAAGTCCATGCAACACTATAGTCCGAAGCGCACGCTACATTTCAGCATGAAAATGGCATTGGTCCAGAAGCAGAACTATTATATTAAATTCTGGAACAGAGTCAGACAACCTGCGAGATTAAGATAAGTGCAGAAGTTTTATGGTGTGGTATCTCACAAACTACCTAGAGAGGAACAATTTATACCACTGTGAATGTAGGAATCCCATCTCCCAGTGCTTAGCCAAGGCAGGCTGCAAAGTAATTGAACTAGAAATCAGCCAGAGAGTCATTAGCAACTGGCATTTTGCTCCTCTGCCGGTCCCTGAAACTCTAACAGACCCTGTGGTGTCTGTTCTTCCAGCAATTGCTAGATTTAGAAGCAAATGCTCCGTGCTCCCCAGAAGCCTGGCCTGCTGGTGTTCAGAAGTCACGTAAACTCTGACAGCTGACAAAATAAGGGCTGCTAAAACACTCTGAGGTTTAAATTGAGGGAGAAGGTGAAGGAAGACTAGAGCTAGTAATGCTGTCACTGCTGGGTTTGTTTTTAATGTCTTTTTATTTTGCTGTGCCAGGGCCAACTCATTGGCACACTGTACAAATGCTTTCTAGACAAGCAGACTTCTCAGACTGCTGGTCCTAAGCCAGTACTTAGAAAGAAGGATTTCATCCCAGATTTGATTCTGCATGAATAAGATACAATATCCCACAGCATAAAACCTGAGCAGTCGGGCATTGCACAGCTCACTAAGCGCAGGTTTGGCAGGGGGTATGAAATTAATCTCTGACTTGCAAGTTGCTCTGTGTCTGTCTGCTTTGCAGATGACTTGTGTCACAGGAGGGGCGTTCAAACGACTATATACTTTGCTCACTCTAATCCTCCAGTGAGCACCAGCGTCTTTGAGAAATGGGGCTTATTGGAAAAGCTCCATTTGAACCCAGAGGCATTCCATGTAGTTTCCATATAGGATTTAAATAGCCTTGTGCTGATCCTTCAGTTCTCAGAGGCACATCACCATTTCCAAAGAGGCAATACTAACGTCTGCATGCTTGAAATGATAATGAATGTACAGAGCCTTTGGCAACTGCTGCAGAAATAATATGCAGTTATAATAAAAACATGAAATTGTCCTCCCCAATACAGTAACTAATTTGACAAGAAAATATATTGAGTTCTAACTAGCTTTTTTGTGGGTATGAACTAGTACTAACAATTTAGATTACTTTTTGCATCCTTCCAGCATAATGTGTCTTAAAGGAAGAAAATAAATCAAATAATGTCTAGCTCTCATAAATATACCCAAGTTTGAACTATTAGCTCACTGCAGAGGATAGACTTAAAAGCAGAGAAGAAGGAAGAAATTACCTTTTTCTAAACTTCCTGAATGGAATTTGCACCCCTTGGCAATGGGGAAGGGGAGGAAGATCCTGGCCTGTCCTGGCTCCAGCTCTCCCTGAACTTCACTAGTGCAGAGGTAGCTTGGTTCATTTGTGCTTGGCAGTCATTGCCCTTTGATTGTAGGTATGTGAGGTGATACTCAGCCTGATTTCCAGGAGGCATAACTTCACATAAACCCAATAGTTGCTTTTGAGAAACCACATTACTGAAAAAAAAAAAAAATCATTATGCAATGATTTGGGGGAAAAATCAGGTAATGAATTTGAATTAGTAATGTGGTAGTACATCTGTTTTCATCTCATATTCCAGCAGTCTCTATTTTACAATGATCTCGAGTTTACTAAGGTCTTACTCTCAGACCAAACATTTGCATGTACTTTGTCTTTAGGATATCCATTGCCAAAACCTGATACATCATCAGCTCATGAGCATCTTTTCTGAATATATTTTATGTCCACAGCAAAAAGCTTCCTCATTGAATCCCTCCTCCTGTCATTCTCAGCAGTTTGACGGGCTAATTTATAAACCAACCACAGCAGAAGTGTGTTTGCAGAATTTTGCTGAGTTTTGATGAGACTGATGTGGCAGGCAGTAATTGTTAACATAGATAATAACAACTCCCCAATTGTACAGACATTTTCTTTTCTGAAGTAAAGCTGTAAATCTGTGTCCTTTGATCATTTAGAAGTAGTGCAGTACGTTGTGCAGCTTCTGTCTCTGGAGGGACATAAATAAATTACTCTGTAGCAATCACATTTGTTAACTGAAGCTACCATTATAGTACCTGTGGCAAGCCTTCCATTAGTGTACCTTTCAAAATGCAAAATTGTCTCAGCAGCCAACAGTCTATTTATTACTCTTTTTCTATTCTTCCGTCTTCTATCCTTTGAAAGAAAAATAAAATTTCCAGATAGTTTGTCATAGTATTCATTACATTTTGCAAGATCAGTTGTGTTTTCCACAGTCACGGATAATTTACAAGAGCTAGAGTTGCACCTGTAATATGCCATAAAAAGGAGAGAGAAAATTTAGCCATGTAATCACAGTTTTAGACACAACTTCATAGTAATAAGTTCTAATACGATGGGAAGTATGTACAGAATCCTGTAATCTCAGGCTAAACCTAACCACATTGATTTTCTATTTCCATGTAAAAAGCAGATTTTCATTTCCTTCAGTTAATCCTAAACATAGTAGCTTTGACACAGTCCAAAAAGCTTTGTTTTTCTTGCAGCCAAGATTAAAGTGTACAGTATATTAGCCTGATGATGAAATAAGTAAGGATAACAAATGGTTCATGACAAGATGAGATGTATCAGAAAGACTATGAAATAGGAGTTTTATGCTCTGAAATAGTATTCTTTATTTTTTCTCTAAACACCGTATTTTTAATTCTAGCACTCCGGCATTGGTGGAGCAGCAGCTGGCAAGAAGAACAGAACTTGGAAGAACCTAAAACAAATTCTTGCTTCTGAAAGGGCATTGCCATGGCAACTAAATGATCCTAGCTGTAAGCTGCTTAGACGCTTTGCATGTATTTATAAAAAATAAAATCCACACAAATAACTTTCTTTAAAACAAACCTAAATTATTTCATCAGTGCATGCAGTATCCTGCTTGAACAGGGTCCAGGTATGCATTTAAGACTAGTCCAATCACACTCGCCAGCCCTAACTGGAAACTAGGAGGAAGCAAATAATTTGGAGTATTGTGATAAAGTTCAAATACATTTAGGGAGAGAGTTTAATAAAGGAAATGTATTTATCTGAACGAGGTCAGAAACTCCTTATTCTCATCAGGTTTTTGTCACCTCTTCACTACTGAGGAGCCTCCTGCTCTGCATACAACCCAAATGTCTTCTGATGGTTGGCTGCTGCTTGATTAGCTCTATCTGAACTATTTTCAAATAGATTCTGCTAAGCCACATACCTGCAGTAGCTTAGACCTCAGCCCAAGATTTCTACCCAGCTCTTTATCCTCGATTCTTGGGAGATTTAGATCCTACATCCCCCTATTTAGTTCAGCACAGCTGAAACTACACTGTTAGCAGTCTTGATCACAGCTGGCTGGTGTACATCTACAGGAGCAGAGTTACAGCAGTGCTCTTAATCTACATATACTTCAAGTATACTCGTAAAGTAGGATACTGTTGAACATAGCTGGAGACAGGATGTGATCATCAGATTTTACTTAAGCAAATGGAGGCCTCTCAGAATTGAGCATATGCATATACTTTTTGTTAGACTTGGTGCTTTCTAAAAAAATAGCTTGCCATTTTTAAAAGTGTTTTAGACGCAACTGTTACAGAAAAATGCAGACTACTGTGTGTTCCTGGCTATTGTAACTGACAATCCGCTGATGTTGCTATTTCTACTACATTCCGTTTGCAACAGTAAATTTACAGACTTTTTTTAAGAAGGTGGGAAAAGAAATTCAGTTGCATATTTAAAACCAGCTGTCTGAGGCATTAGTGTCTTATGAATTATGAAATAATGAGTTAGAAATTTGATATGCATGGAGCCTTTGAGTTGATCATAGCACCTGAGTGAGGTGCAAGGGAGATCAGAAAGGAGGAAAGAAATGAGTCAGGTACAAGATATTTTTGCAAACATCCAAGATCAGGGATTTAACTACTTAAACGTACCAACTATATCTCAGAAATGATTATGAATGAGAGCTGCTATCTAAAGGGCACCAAAGAACAGCAATTTCCATCATTTAATTTAAACATTCAGACAATTTTCTAGGTCATTGACTGGGCTTAAAGTGGTACATGCTTAAAGATTTAACTGATTTAAAAGATTACTTTGCTTTTCTGGATTATAGTATTTCAGAGCTGCAATCTTGAGCAATGATTCATGGTCATAACATACAGCATGCATATGATAATGACTGTTCTTTGCAAATAACTGACTGCAAGGAAAGTCATTAAGACAGAAGAAATCAACACATTTCAAATGGCTGTCTTGCATTTTGCCTTTTGGGGAGGGCAGTTCTGCTGGCTGAACTCTTACTGAGAGAGGTGAGCAAAATCAGACTGTTGCTAACAGGCTAAATGTTTTCAGTGGTAATTCTGCTTCAGGTGTCTTTGCCTTAAGTGCTCCTAGATAATAGAGACCTCAGAAAGTAAAGGCAGCATTTTAAAGAAGCATCGTTACCTATTTACATTTTGAGTTTGTGTTTTAAAAATACATGTAGCACACTGAATTTATCCCTTTGTTTTCTCTAGATTTTAATATTGATGCTCCTCCTTCTTTTAAGCCTGCCAAGAAATATTCGGACATTTCAGGACTTCCGGTAAGTATTTTATTTTTCTCTTCAAAATTTTCAATTTTTGTCCAGCCTTTTCACAATGAAATAAAGCTGGTGCATGCCTTTGTGAAAGATGGATTTGCTGAGGTTCCTGTTCCACATTGTGCTTAACAGTTGTCCAGTGATTTAGGGCCAAGCCCCAAATATTGTTGCTACATCACAAAATCCTCAGGTTATTAATAGATGTCAGGACAGATTAAATACCTTGCCCTGCCACAGCACTTTCCCAGCTGTAGAGTCTGCATTGGTCCCCATCATTTGCGATTCTTCAGATTGTTACAGTGAAAGCTGGTAGCCCACAGTCTCCATGACTCCTGACTTTGCCAAGCCTTAACTACACGGACCGAAACTTTCCATGCTAAGTGTTTGCCTGAGGCTGATTTATTTCATTATATCTTTTAGAGAGAGTTTCAAAAAGATGGCTCAGCAATTTCCAAGAATGAGATTAAGCAAAATTATATTGATTGGCCCAGGTTAAAAAAAAATAATAAAAAAAAAATCTCGTTATCATTACTCTCAAACTTTCCCTCAAACAAATCAGCCCAAGACAGACAGTTGGCATGGACTTTTTTGAATTTCAAATACCCCTATGCTTCAGAGCTGGAACTTGGAGTTTGGCAGATGTATAGACTGTATGTCACAGATGGGCTCTTTTACATGGTTTTGTTAAAGAAAAAAGGAAAAAAAAACCCAGCCAAACCACATTTGACATACATACAGTTTGCACATGCTCCAAAAAGTCTCAGTAGTTAAGAGTTTGGCACCTGAATTCCGCAAAGATTCTGTTGGCACAAGACAGGAGTAAAGTCATTGAATTCTGCCCAACCAAAATTTTGTCTGCTGCTGACACTGTTCCTATGTGATATGAATAATTTTACTTAAAACAGGTATTAGTAACAGCATATATTTTCACCTTCGGCCCCCAGTGATATATTTTGCAGAAGCCTGTGCATTTATTACAATTGAATGGGAATGTTGTATTTTGGACTATAAAAAGAGTTAAGTAATGGTTACACTAAATAATTACAATAATGAAAACTTTGTAACATCATACAGCCTGAGACACAATTTTTGGGTTCCTTCCCCTAGTTTAATCTGTTCTTATCCATAGGGCACTAGCCTACCTCACAGGGTTGATATCGCCTCATAGAGATGCCTGTAAATATACATATTTGTTTTGTTGATGCAGGTTAACACAGCGTCTTGCATTCTGTGCAAGTCCTGGTTGGGGAAAAAAAAAAGTTGGGAGAAAAAAAAAAAGGGTGGGCACTTAATTAAGGACTGCCTTATAGTGGATACACAGTGCAAGAGGATCGAAGAATAGCTGTAGCACCAACTGGAATCCTGCACATCCTAACGTTTGAGTTCTTGATTTGGCAGTGTATGTTTTCTTTCATTCTTTTAAATTTTTTTTAAGTAACACATTTAAATAAGGCACCTAGGAGGTGGCATGTTTCCAGCCTGTGCCTTTGAGCATGATTTGGAAATGGCGTGGGTTGCTCGGATCCAGGCTGGTGACCCTTGGTGTTCAAGAAGGAATGGGAAAGTAACATCTCCCTTGCAGGTGATCTGGCAGGCAGCAAATGGAAGAGACTGCTCACAAACACAAGGAAAATAATTCCTTCCAACTAGGCAGACTTACAGTCTTGTACTCATAACAGTATGTTTTTTGATATAACAGCAACTTGTTTTCAGACAAGGAGCAGGGGTCAGTTGAATAAGTACCCCTACTCTATATAAAGATGCAATGGATGGAAGAAGAGGGGATAGGTGAATATGTGAAATAATAATTAGTAGATTTCACCAAAATAGCAAAAAATCCGTACTGGGTCCCTTGCTGTTGTTAATCTGTTTCCTGTCCTCTCCCCTTAGAGTTGCTTTGCAAGTATTAGTAGCATTCACACCAGGTGTTTCTAGTGTTGCAGCAGCATCTCTGACCTGTGAGGGGCTTACGTGGGGTAGATGGCATAAGGGTGCAAGTCCTTTTCACTGCCCCACTCCAGCAAACCAATTAATCCTTTCCAGCATTGGCCTTGGGTGCATTTGAAAACTAGTCAGTCATTGCACCTCTAGTGAGATGATGATGCATGTTATAGATGGGAGTGAAGACCGTGTCCCTGCCAGCTAAGGGTCAGTTTAGCCACAGGAAACAAGAGTCTTCCTTTCAGTTCCTCAGTTTTTCTTTGCCAGCCCCTCCTTTCCATCAGTGATTTATGTACTCTAACTGTTCTAGCACAGTATAAATACTCTCCTTTCTGTATTAATCCATTTAGGGCTGCTTTTGTTTAATTTTTTTTTGTCCCTCCACTTTCTCCCCCTCCCCAGTTTTCCATCCTCTAATTGCATTATGAGTCGAGTTTCCTATTTTACCTGGCCTGCAAGGTTTCTCCAGACTATGATAAAAATACTGTGTTTAAAAAAATCTTTTTTACGATCACTGAGACAGCATGTCCTTTAAATTGCTAAGCCAGAAATGTTTCATAAGAAGCACTAAATATATTTTCAAGATCATTTCCTAGTAGGAAGGTATGTGGGGTAATAGAATATTTTAGAAATCTAGTATAAGAAGAATGTCCCTGTATTTTCTGTGTAAAATCTGAAAGCATTTGTGTAAGAATATATTTTGTATGAGAATGACAGATTCCCCATGAAAAAAAAAAAAAGGGAAAATAAATTCCTAAGCATTACCCAGTTAGAGAAGAATTAAATGGTCTAGCAGGTACAAAAACAAACAAACAAAAAAGTGTACTAATACACTCTCATCAGTAGACCTGCAGTTATATTAAATGCCACAATTAAATTCTACTGATCCTCTTCTCTTTCTGTGTGTAACACAAATGGAATTAAATTTACCAATGGTCTAAGCAGAGCAGACTATTTATATTTGTAAGGCAGCCTAGAATTCAAAAGCTATTGTCTACTATATTGACACTGCAAAATAAAACTATTATTTCCAAACTTGCAAGATGAGTATTTAGATATGTTAACACACCAAACAAAGTAATCTAATGTAAAGCAGATTTAAAAAAAACCCAAACCTTCAAATGTTTATATTTCTCTTCCTTTTCTGAAAATGGATTGGCCATGTTACTATAGAAACAGATGGAGATAACTATTTTATTGTATTCAAAGAGCATGTATCTGTAGCCTTTGCTTTAGTTTGCTGAAGTAGCAGTAAAGTTTGTTTTCAGACTGAAGTAATGGCATAAAAGACTAGTTACCGTAAATTAGTGTGTGCAAACAGTACAGCCCAATACGAGGTATCAGAATGGTGAAGAACTGTCATAATATTTTTAACCTAGATTTGTGCATAACACAGATTGCAGATATTGCTTGGCTAATTTATTACAGAATCGTGCACATTTGGAAAGCAGTCTGCTTGGTTAGTTTTTTCTTACATGAGGCCAGATTTAAAGTGTGAAATAAAAATAAATTTATACCAGCTGTAACCATGAAGTTACCACCAGGGATAAATTTACTCTTAATATCCTAACTTAGCCATTTGTTTTAAAATATATCGATGATATAACTGTGAGCTGACTACATTTAATTAACCTTGTAGTATTTCTTTGTAAAGAAACAAGCTACAGATAATAATTTGCTGCTAAGTCTTATCAGGCCAGAAGTTAACTAACTGGATCATTACCATGGTCAACAGATCCTTTCCAACAGAAAAATGGTAGAGGGCTCTGCATTTCAACCGTATGGACAGGGGGAATGCTCCAGCTCTTCCAGGCCTTTAAGAATAAAGATTTCAGTAGCAATGTCTTAAGGCATCTCAACTGCCTGTGCCTTGCAACCTGCCACCACCTCCTGTTAGGAAAGGTACAGAAGACACTTTCAGAGCCTTGGCAGGCACTTGGTAATTCAGTGCTGAAGGGGCGGTGGTTGTCCTGGAGGCTGAAGGTGGAGAGGCAATACCCTGAAGCTTCCTTCTTCTAGCCCAGCCTCCTGTGCAGCCCTCCAACCTCATCCCAGCTCAAGGTTTCTGTAGCAACAGGGAAGGGGAGAGGATGGAAGGAAACTGGCACTGCTCCCAGGCACCCGGGGCCCAACTGCAGCAGAGGCTACAAGCGTAGCCCAGGGTTAGCTGGCCAGGCTGCTATCCTGAAAGCAGGCGTCTGTAGCAAAGCACCACATTGAGTTCAAATTTCTTATCAGTTGAGTCACAGAACCATAAGCTGAGACTCTCTTGCTTTAACAACCACTTTAAAGTAAATTAAAAGCTGAGTTGTATGCAGGAAGAGAAAATCAGTCCAAAGCTATCAGAGCACCCATAATTCAGCCTCTTTGTGGGTAATTTATTGGCAGCAGCCTGACTCTTTGGAGAGCTGCCTTGAGAGAGGCTGCACAAGGCAGAGAGTTGCTAGGGTGAGTTTAGAGAGTTGAGGAATTTCTTTTGCAGTGTGTTTTGTGTGAAACTATTTCAACCCTCTGTTAAGTTTAATGCATTTCTAATGTGATTTTATAGGGGTCTGTTAACTTCTCCTAAGTTCTGACACAAGGAGAAAGAGAAAAGTACAAACTTTTAGTCACATGGTAGAACAGAAACTCACTATTTTGTGGTCTTGTAATTAGACACTTTTTTTAGTATTCTGTTTTGAGATTTTATTTCAGTAATGTCTCTGCCACTGTTTCTTTTTCAGGCAAATTACACAGATCCCCAGAGCAAGCTGAGATTTAGTACTATTGAAGAATTTGCCTATATTCGGATGCTCCCTTCAGATGTGGTTACAGGATACCTGGCTCTAAGGAAAGCAACAAGTATTGTTTCCTGAAGAGACCAAATATTGTTGTATATTGCTTGTGAATGGTGCTGCTTTTGAGAATCACGATGGAAACTGACTGTGGGACTGAGGTCCCTTAAGACTATCTGTGGATATTTACATCTGGAAGTAGCTCATGATACATGGATTTGAAGAACATATGGATTTAATTTTGATAAAAGCTGATATTTGTTAGTTTGCCAATTTGTAAGCGATTTGGTTTGGTGAACAGAATAACTTAGACCTTAAGGATATGGATCTGCACCATAGTATCTGAGTTACATTAATTTCTGTAGAGACAGGATTTCATCCACACCCTAATTTTATGTACTGCACTAGCTCAGAAGAAAAGAGTCATTTGAATTAAGGAAAAGGTACCAAGATTTCCCACCTTCTAAATCTGCTTTGCATATGTGCTTGCCACTTGGCTATGAAGAAGTTTGTTCCACATGTAAAATGAAGTTAAAATACCTAGCAAGTGCTGCTGTTGTGAAGACTGCTTATGGTACTGAGCACTGTGGAAATGAACAGCTTCACACAAATATTTGCATTGAAGAACTGTCAGCATAAATAAAGGTGGACTGAAACTTGTTTCTAAAATATCCTAATGAATATGCATAACAGGATCATATCAAATCACCAGGTAATTGTGACACTTTGTAGTTTTTGAGTGCTTCATTTCACAGCCTGACTATTCTTCTACCTTTGCTAGTTGGTACAATATTAGTACTAATTAGTACAAAAAAGTACCAATTTCCCAGACTTGTTAAAAATGATGCTAAAAAAAGCAGGAATTCCACTGTTCAGTGACGTTCTGACAGCTAGCTGGTCTTCAGCAAGGTGAGACCTCCTAGATCAGGACACTGATCTTAGCATCATGAGGTACCAGAAGAGTAACGGATAGCAACTGAACGCTGTCACCCTTTAGAGGAAGGAGACTGAGGAGAGTTTGTACTCTTGCAGGGGGGTTGACAAGTACATTCCAACATCAGAATGGCCATGATTTCCTGAAACTAAGTCCAGGGGAAAGGGAGCAGAGGGTTTTATGCCCGTTCTTTCTTTTTGTCCTCTTTCTTATGACAAGCTGCTAATTTATTATCTTCCCACTTCTTCCTCTTTGTCCCAGCCTTAGACACTTATCAAATTTTAATCTGGACTCCAAGTTCAGGCTCAGCCATTCCTAGCCTCCAACCACACAGCCTTCACGCTCAACCAAGTGCCCTGTAGCTGTGGCACTTACCTCCCTTATCTCTCTGAGCCAGTGGGTGTTAGCCAGAAAGGCAGCTAGGTGAGCTACCACTTGCTGTGCAACTGCCCTCTTCCTGTGTGCAAAACTGCCAAGTGGAAGACTTGTCCGGTAGCTTGTTAGTACTGGACTGTCCAGGTCACTAAGGAGGTGAGACACTGATCATGAGACAGCAGTCCCGTCTCACCCAAGCTCCATCATGAGGAGCTCGTGCAAGGCTCCTCTTCTTGCTGACTGCACAAGCAGCATGCAGTGGTGAGTTGTTAGCGTCTAAGCTGCACCTTGAATGCACATTTCTATGCACATGATAATTACTAGAAAAGATTTTTTTTCTTACTGGAAGAATAAATACGTGGAGTACTATTAATGCTAGTTTAATGTCAACTCCGAAACAGGAAAAACAATAATGGGCCACATTGTTTAATAAAAGTCTGTGGGACTCATTCCTCAGTTTTTGTGATCTAATATTTACAAAAACAAAGTAATTTAAAAAGTCTTTGACATGCTTACAATAGATCCTTCAAAGCCCTGGATACCAGATAATGCTATAACTGTATCACAGAACAAAAAAGAATAAGACAGGATATCTCTCTTCATGCCAGTAAGCATCCAAGCCACATTCTCTTTGCATCCGAGTTTTAGAATGAATGTTTTTAACTTACTTTATGTACTGAGGATGTGTTTATAAGATAAGCTTAACACTGATATGAGAAGAAAACACATAGAAATGCTTTATGCTTTAAGTAAGCAGACAGCAGCTCAAAAAATCTTATTTCACCAGCTTCTTCTCTCCCACAAACATTTTAAATTTTCTTTGGAAATGACTGTTTAGGAACTCAGGCTCCCTCACCATCAGAAGTGCTCCACACACTGCCACGCTGTATGTTGAGATGTTGCTTCTCAGTGTTTATGCATTCCATTTTCGAAACCTAAGTGTCTTACTGAATCAGTCCACATCAGAAAAGTAAATCCAGCTTAGATTTGGCATAAACGTTAGCGACACTTCTCTCAATGTTTTCCATCCGTATGATGGCTGCTAGATTCCCTTTTCTTTCCTGGCTTCCTCCTTTGTTAGGTACCGGCCATTTTTTCTTAGTCTGTCGTACCTCACTTTTACTCATTTGGCTGTGCAGTAGAGCCAAGAGTGATGAGTCAGCCACCAGCACCATTCAGCCTTACAGTGATCAACAACCATTCACTAT